TTTACTACCCATTTCCCTTTCCCTAGTTGTAAAAGTTGCACAGTGGTGTCTGTAGTGAACCTGATACCTTCCACTCCAGAATTGCAAGTGCTTGCGAGACGTATACAGCAGAATTGGTTCAACTACTAGAGATGCACTGATCGCCATAGTGTGTCATGCAGCTTCTTATTTGAATGAATCAAAAAAAAGTGAACTAGTGAGCGCAGAAAGAGGTGAAAAATCTGCCTTGAATAGCATCACATAATTATTCAAGCAAACAACGTATAGAATAATAAAGTTAGTACCACTTACTTTATCCATTCCCAGCTTAATTAACAAATACTAAACATTTTTGCAAGTCTTTTAACTAAATTCTCTCATCCATGTCTATCAGGCAATTACCAGAGTAAAGGTGTTCAGTATTTCTCAATTCTTTCCTCATGCCAAAAATAATTTTAGGACTGATCTTAATAATGACTTGCAGTCAGCATGGCAGGCTTTATATCCCATGTAGCACCTCCACCAACAAAGTACTGAACCTTATTGCTCACACTCTGCACTCTTCATGGACAGACTTCCCCGAAGTATGTGCTTTTCTTTAAGCCAACAGAATGGAGATCTCAAAATAATATGAAAAATAGACCACGATGGTTTTGGAGCTAGAGATGAAGTTTAATGTTAAACTTAAAGCAACCTTTTTTTTTTTGTGAACAAGTAATCCAGAGATTATGTTTCAGTTCCAGCAGTAAAAACATAGTCAGCAGAGCTCCAGGCAACTTTATGAATTCCTTCCGTAAGCTTATACTAGATTTGTACTAGAGAGAAGGAGCCACCACCCTTCCCTACCCCACCACCCCCAGCCCAACACAATTGCTCTCTCAGATCTAGGCTGAATTAAATGTTTAATTTGACTTGGAACATACTGGTTTGGTTTGGACAATTTTTAATAAAAGCAAGGGGCTGAATTCATGCAGTAACTTGTACACCATTCCGTGAGCAGGGGATGCTGTCTCCTTTATGCTGCACAGCGCTGCAATTAGCAAACTTGAATGGCATGTGAGGCATACAGATTCCAGTCATCTTTGTCTGATTTGGATTAAGTATTTTTGAGCTCAAGTATTTCACCTCTAATGTGCATGCCATAATTGGAGCAGTATAAATTAGAGGTTTTGCCTCGGCAGGCTGTGAGGTGTATTAGGCTACCCACTTGAAAGGCTTACATGGTCGCTCTACCCCCGGCACATGATCAGTGTGAAATCCCTTTCCTTCTCCTGTATAAACTACTGCGCAAGCCTTGCTCCCGAAGAAAGATCAGACAGGCTGAGACGGCATACCAGCGGAGAGCGGGGCAAAGGCTGCAGTAAGTGTCCTGGCTGGACACACCACTGCGATGTGGTGTCTGCGATGGGTCTGCTACTGGGAGAGCCTGAAGACTCAGGGTGGTTTGTTACTGAAACACCGAAAGAACCACTGACACATCCCAAGTGTTCCCTCTCATCACTTCTTCCCTGGCTAACATTAAGAACAGAATTCAGCATTCTTTTTTAAAGATCCTTGATGCCAGTCAAAAAGAGAAGTCTGTTTTTCAAAAATGTAATAATTGTGGAACTTGGGAATACACATGGTCATGGTGGGTTCAACAAAGAATTGCCAGCTTTCCTTGCTGACCTCAGACAATTCAGAATGTATTTGTTCACTGTGAATCTTTAGAAGTACTTGCTATATGAAGAGTTAATTTGTGCTTTTTACCTTTATGCAGGCCTCATTACATCACCACATCTCTGTAGCGCAGTCAGATGAGCTTCTACCTGCCAGAAATTCTCAGCGAGTTCCTCACCCCCTTGACTCTAAAACTACATCGGATGTCTTGAGGTAATGCCTTTTAGGTTTTGCATTTCCTCCCTAAGGTTACGGGGACCAAGCTCTGAAATTTCAGAGGGACTTTTCAACCTGGCAAAATTATTTCTCAGCTTTATCAGCAGCTTATAACTCCACTATGCCCTCCCTACATGCATGTCTCAGAGTAGTGGGCAACTCTAACTGCTACCTCCACCACCAAAGAGCAGGACTTTGAGGGTTACATCATCAGTTTTCCATACTGCTATACAAAACTATGTAAAGGAAACTTCCAAAGGGCTTTGCCTTCCCAAATGGACACTTGGTTTGCCTCCCAGAGAGTGTTCCGTGTTCCTGGTGGTCTAATCTGGACTGTGTCAGTAATTATTTTTACTTGCCAAACTGATTTATAGAAGGAGATAAAAGTACTGTCCTGATACCAGTGGCTTAGGAATTGGGATATAAAGGAGACATTCCTCCTGAATTAATACAGGGTTGTGTATCGTATTGCTGGAGATAACTAGAGGACTGTGCCTCCATCCCACCTGTTGGGGACTGAAAAAAGATCTGTTTTATGAGACAGCATACAGGGTGGAACACACGAGTGAACAAACATGTGCATTTAACCAAGTAGAGGATATCAGGAGGAAGCACGAAGAATAACCTGATCTAAGAAAATTGGTGCTGTATCTATTCTAGAAGATCTAAATTTGCATCCTCTTAGAGGACTGAGCTATCACAGCTCTCCTGGGGTACTACTGTCTTTGTTTTGATAAAAGGATGATGCAACACACAAGGAAAGGACGAGATACAACAGACACAAGTTACAACATGAGAAATTCTAATCAGATACGGGATCACATAAAAAGTGTAATCAAATGCTGGCGCAGGTTGCCCAGAGCAGCTGTGGAACCTCTGCCCTTAGAGGTGTTCAAGACTCAAGGCCTTCAATACAGTGGTATTTGAACCGCTACGATTCCATCATCTCTGCCATGTATTGTGGAGGGCCTGCATTCAAATAGCTTGGTTCAAGTTCAAACATATTAAAACTAAAAATTCGTGCTTCCCCTCTTCCCCTTGTCAGTAAGTTTCCTACTTTGCCAACACCACCAGCGCTGATACAGCCAGGCCGTCCTCATGACATTGCATCTCCAGGAGAAACCAGAGATAAGTTTAAGTAAATCTTCTAGAAAAGACGAGAAGGAAAGGAGTAAACAATTCCAGTTTCATTTCTCTCTGTGTTTCTCTTCTGCAGGTTTGTTTTGGAGCAGTACAATGCACTGTCCTGGCTTACGTGTACCCCTGCCACTCAGGATCGCAGCTCCTGCCTTCCTGTCCACTTCGTGGTGCTCACTCAGTTGTACAATGCCATCATGAATATACTTTAATAGATAGAAAAGCACTTGTTCTTCTGGCTTATTCTCCCCTTGACCTGAGAAACGTGCCACAATCTGCAAAGATCACAATTTTGCTTCTCTTCAGACCAGTCCTGTGCTGTGCTTCTGTTCCTCCAAAAGCACATGTGAATTCTGCAGTGTTCAAAACTAAACTACCCATTAACATCTCTGGCAGCTTCAGTCCAAAATCTGGGAACATCCAAGAACAGTGAACACACAGTAACCTCAAGCCAGTGTTAGTTTGGTGGCCCAGTAACTACTGCTCAGTGTGATTCTTTTTTTTAATATTTTATTTTTTTAAGGAAGACTACAGTATCTTTTTGCATTAGGAACTCTGATAAACAACCAAGAGCAGTTTCAGCCCTGCAAGTAAAAATACCTTGTAGTGACCAGTTTGGGTTGTCCAAAACTTATTTTGTTGTTTGATCATCATAAACTAGGACTTTGCAGGAGGAAAAAAACCAAACCAAACCCAAACAACAAAAAAAACCCACACAGTTGTAGTCTCGTATTAATATTGGAGTTTTCTGTCTACCTGGAGTTCCTGTCAGAGTGGATTGGGATGAATGCATGCATTTGTTACCTGTCCATGTAGATATGAATGGTCTGGAGATACTTTTATTTATTTTTAGGTTTGGGGAGGGGAGGGATTAAATTATAAAGGACCAGGAACAGTAGAGTATCCTAAAAATCCAGCTCCGTTCCACTGTAGGGTTATTTATCTACATACCTCTCACTCTTCTGACCTAGAAATCAAAAATGAAGCTAGTAACAATCAAGTCCAAGCTGGGAAGGGAAGCGTGTTCTGGTAAGGATATACTTGTGTTTTAAGGAATTCTCACCTGCAGTTAGCCTGGTTAAAGCAAGAAATGGCCAGTGTTCAATGAAGGATAACACTACCTGATGGAAGAAGAGTGAGAGAGAGGTAGGGAGGAAAAATACTTTAAAGCCCAATGTAAGGGCAAATGGAAAGTGGTAAATTAATCTATTGTAGAGCTATGATTGAAATATATTTCCGGTAAATTTAGTGATGCTAGAAAACTATTTACTGAAACCCAAGTCGCCCTTTAATTCTGGGCAGACTCGTCCATGTACATATCCAAAAATATGGTTTTTGTTTACACTAAATCAGTTGCAAATCTGGTGTATTTTTTCTGACTATAGGAATATTATTTCAAAGAAATAATTTTTAAAAATTATATCATTAAATTAGTACTTGAAGTTATACCACTGTGGTGGAAAAGTTACTTTGTTTAGTAAAATGATTGCCATTTTAAAGGTTAATGGCTAATTGAAGTATTTTTATGACTCCTTCATTCCAGGCTTCAAGGAGTTTATATTTAAACTCCATTTTCTAATGTTTGTTGTTGCACTGTGCAGCAGGCATGGACTGCCTTATGTGAGGGGTCAGGCACTTTGATCAGGCTGTGTGACCTAGTTATCTATCTGTGGAGAAAAAAACTACAAATTTTAAAGTTCTTCCAAAAGACTTTCATGTTCTGGTTAAAAAAAATGAAATTCTATGATTTTAAAAAGTATTTTTCTTGAGATAATGTAACATTTAAAACAAATTATATAAAATAAAAAAAAAAAAAAGAATTGCTTGTGTAATGAGAAGGTGAAGTCAGAGAAGTAACCTGTAAATGGATTATTTCATTCTCTGCACCAAACCTCCCATGTGGGTATCCTCTTTGCAATGTATAGGTTAAAAAAAAAAAAATCTGATATCAAACCATTTGTATCTAATGTGTACAGTGTAAAATTGACTTTAAAAATATTGCAGTACTATTTTTTCTTAATCAGAAAAGAAAATTCTCAAGGCCTTTTGAAGAGCGTAAAAAGATGAAGATTGTAAACTTGTATAAAAAAAATTTAACTTGGGGAGGAAAAAATGTAAAGTAGACATTTGTAATCTTTTACCATTTGGGGGTTATTTGTTCCCAGGATTCATCTGAACTTTGGATTATTATTTTGTTTATTCTTTTTAAATGGGCCGTTTTTATCCAGGGGCGTTTCTTCCCCAGAAACCTGGTTCTAAGCAAAAATTAAAAACAAAAAAAGGGCAGCAAGGAGTAGTTTTCATCTGGTGTCTTTTATTTAATTTTTTTAAGTTAAGAGAAGCTGGTGACATATTTATACGTTTTTGTGCAAAATAAATGAATGGCAATAGATTTTAAAGAAAAATCTTATGTACTTCAGTGTGAAAAGTTCTGTATAATATTTCCCTTAAATATGCATTATTTTACTTGTGAGTTTTTTACTGAATTAATCTGAAATGTACAAGCCCTGGCTTTCCTACAGAGTGAAGAAAGTTATTTTATTTTTTTTTTTATTTCTAACTTTGGAAGTTCATGCCGAAATCAGAATTATTATTACAGTTGTTTGAGCTAAAGGGAGAGGGAGGGGGTGGGGAATGTCCAGCATGCTTGTATGTATATTTCAGAACCTTTTTTAAATGTAAAAGCTGTACATTTCTGGGGAGTTCTGAATTTCTTTTTGGTTTTGTTTTGGTTTTTTTGGTTTTTTTTTTTTTCTCTGAGCATTTTGCAGTGAGCTTCTTTTATATATAGCCGACAATTTGAAAGAAAACAAAAAAAAAATGTGAAGTTCATTTTAAATCTACAGTATATCGCTGGTACAATACACTAAAAAAAGACTTTGATAAAAAGAAACAATAATAATAAAGACCTCCATTTTAAATGTCATTCATATATACCTTGTGGATGAGAGCTATATACTTTTACACACTTTTTTAGATGAATAAATTATTGAATTACTGAAACTGTTGGTGGAGTTTTATTCTTATGAGTATTTTCTTTAACTCCTAAAGTTTTAGCATTCCTAGTGAAGGAGGGTTTGCGTGAAAAGGTATGGATTCCACGTGATATGAATGGAACTGAAATTAATTTAAAGGCTCTTTAATATTTATTGCCTTTAGAGGCCCGCACGCACTGCTGCCCTCCCTGAATTAACCCAGAGCCTGCCTGCCTCTTCAAAGCGCTGCATGTTGTTAAGGCTATAGCTTTGTCAGCCTCCCTTCCAGAGTAACAAGGCTCCTCAAAATGTATAGGTTCACTCTGCAACAGTACTTTTCTTTAAAACTGAAATCAAAGCCAAACAGAATAGTCATTCTATTTAAAATCATTTCTGTTGTGAGAAGAAAGTTGGTGCCACTAATGTAAATATGGAGATGAAGAGATTTAAAATTCTGCCAAATGGGGTGGGTGGAAGCAACCTGGGATAATCTGGTGACACGTGAGCAGTAGTTGCTTTACACGAACAACTCTCATCACCAGAGCTTCATCAATTACAGATGAAATTTCCGTGCATACAGCAGGTGAGTCTTTAACAGGAGATTTCAACGGCAGATCCGTCTTGCAACCTCCTCCCCGCTGCAGCAGGATGACAGACAAGATAACTGAAGTGCAGTCAGCCCCAGATTGGAGAGGGATACGAGACCAGATCTGCGGCTTCGGCTAGCGGAGGGAAGCTGCAGAGTCGCCCTCCTGGACAAGCTGAAGGCTCAGCTGGACACATCCTTGAGCAGCCTGATCGAATTATACCTGCTTTGACCAGGGGCTTGCTTGGACTGTTACACTTCAGGAGGTCCCTTCAAACCGAGACATTCTGTATTTAGCAGGTTCATTTCTGAACACAGACATGCAAAAAGATGATAAATTAACAATAGACCTCAAGCCCTGTCACAGTGCTACACCTTAACAAGAGCAGAGGTCTATTTTGCATTCATCTCCCGTAAGAATTGTTCCAGAAAAACTTAAAACAGAATTGTCAGATATTATATAATTTTCTGGACTTAAAGAAGTAACAAATTTGTGACCTCCCAAAGTATATTTTAAATACCATATCCCTTGCACTGTTAAAAAAACACTCCCTAAGATTTTGCCTTTTTTTTTTTTTTTAGACTTTGAAGCTTGTATCTTTTAGTTCACTTTACTATTGGTAAATTCATAATGAATGACATTGTACAATTAACGTGTACAAGTTCTTACAGAATAGTTACACTTCAGCCTTCCATTGTGAGTGCTGGAAGTACATGGAATTACTGCAGAGTAGTATTTTTTTAAATGGAGATTACTTTGTGGCTAATTCATTGGCTTTAAAGACAAAAACTACCAGTTAAATATTCTGTTCCATGAGAACTGTAAGGAAGAACTGCATGAAAACACTAAAATCTCAGTTGATTTGTAACAATAAGGTAGTATTTATGGCAAATGGGTACAGTACTGTGGTGATGGTCTCCTCAATACCAATGAAGGAAAAAGTTTTTAAAAGATTAGGCTGACATTAAACTACTTTTCTTGTTCCAACTGCCATTTCTATTTTTGGCAAAACATCATGGCCACCTGAAAACAGTTTAAGCACATGTAGAAAGCATCAGAAGCCATGAAAGCAAACAGTAGGTTTATGGTCAGTCTCTCACCATTTGTGGTGGAAATAGAAACAGCCCTGAGATCCCCAAACAGGAAGTCTTTGGTCTTTAACAACAAAGCAGTATTTACAAAATTACGCTGCTTCCACTTCCCTATTTTGAAACTGAACCCTAACACTCTAAGAAATGTTTATGTGGGCAGACTCTGTTTTACGCTTAACTGACTGCTCCTTACCAGGTATCAAAGCAGCAGTCCCATAGGGCTTGCCAGGGGATATATAAACCTCTGTGCTATTTTAATGAAACCTGAAATAACTTCAAAAACCTGAAGCAAGATGACACCAACTTCCATGAGAGGCCAGCTCCCAATACAGGCTGCCCTCAGCTGTCACTGCCTGAGATCCATCTTAGCGATTCACGCTGCTCAAGTTCAGGGCCCAGGTCTGAGACCGTTCAGTACACGTCAGCTCTCGCTCTGGTTCTAGCCTGGGACTTGTCAGCCAACTGGCAGTCTAACCATGCTATAAGCATATATAATATAGCTTATATAAGCTATAAACATACACTACATGCTTATTTATCTGTATAAGCATTAGCTTTTTTGCCTACAAGAACTACTTATTAAAATCTTTCAGAATTACGATACAATTAAAAACCCAAAACCGAACGAAAAAAATGCTTGGCATCAAGGCCCCCTTCTAGAAAGCCAGCATGGACACTGCAATTGCCAGAACTTACTAGAAACTCTTTCTACAAGAACATCTTTCATGGTCCTGCTAGAGGAACCAAGGGCAACACCTGCCAGAATTCACTGGCTACCTCTGCTTGCCCCACAGTGTGCCCACAAGGCCCAGAGACTGGTTTGTATTGCCCAAAGGCATTACTAGACTCTAACACGGATTTGCGGACAATACAACAGCCTCCCCTGCTAACAACTTCTCCACTCTGAAAAGCCATGTCTCATTTTTCAG